GTGACTTTTGGGCCACCAGCTCTAGGACTTAAACTGTGGTCAGCCATGTGGGACTCCAGTGCCTCAACCACCATGCCTCCTGCCAGCCCCCCAGAGTGAGTTATAAGCCATGGGGCCTGGAGCTTGAACTGTGGTCAGCCATGTGGGAGTCCAGCAAGGTAACCATTAAGCCATCCGCTGGCCCAATTTATTATTTTTAGAATAATTATTTTTCTTTTCCCAAATAATAAAGAACCTGACAGTGGTACAGAGGTAAAACATGACACCTCACAAGGTTGGCCCACATGAGAAGGTTGGCAGTTTACATCCAGAGAACCCCCTGAGCACCCAGGATGCGTGGGCACACAATCTGGGCTGGCTGAAGTTCAGGGTGGATTGTAGCAACAGGACCTTGCTGGGGTGCTTTCACTCTCTCTCACCCATAAACTTTAAAAACGTAGATGGAGCCATAAGTGGCCTGATCTCTACTTTGACTTAACCACCTTTTTTTTTTTTTAATTTGGATAATTTATCATTGGTTCATTTTTTTTTTCTTTGTTTCTTTCTTTTTTTTTAAAGAGATTTTTGCTATAGGGCTCATACACTCACCAGAGAGACAGAAAGCAAGAAATCAACCCCTGGGGGGAGCAAGCCCTTCTCCTCCAGTCTCCTCTTGCGACTTTGGGCATGCGTGCACACATGCCTAGCATGAGTTTTGAATCACGGTTGACTGCATTGGAGCCCAGTAATGTAACCATTACGCCACCTGCTGGTCCTGGTTCATTTTCCTTTCAATGACAGGCCTTTCACTACCCACAACTTGAACTACGTTGATCACATATTTTCCTGCAATTTTTTCTTTGATTCAGTCTCCTAAAGGACTTGAGACCAAGGAAGCAAATTCAATGAGCTTAAATGTGGAACACAAAACAGAGGTTTGTGATGAGGCAGAAGAGTACATTTTGGGTGTCAGGAAAGAAAAGAGAATATTCCTACAATATGCAAAATCAGTACCAATACCTCAAGCGGTATTAGGTGAATTTCAACATCCTCCTAAAATCTTGCTTTTTCTATATTCTCTCACATTCCTAAATTCTCTATATTCTCTCACATTCCTAAATATAAATTATGACTAACAAATAATTATGATGAATAATAACACCATCACTTAATTTCCTGCCAGCTGAGGCCTGGCAGAGTTGAAGCATGCTAAACCTCAAGAGTGTGCAATTTTAGAACTGAACAATTAAGCTCAGAGATGGTAGAGGTTACTGTGGCAACCTGATCCCACAACTCAGCATTTGAGTCACAGTATTTGAGTCACAGAGGCTGGTTATTATGATTTAGACTCCAGGCAATGTTTAGGTACAGACAGGGAGTTTCCCTGTGCAAGTTCAGAAATGATAGGTACTTTGAAATCTTCAGAAGAGGATCATGTGTTCTTTTTTCAGTGAAGTGACACTGTGTTAATGGAAAGAGTAGTAGCTAATAATAATGTTTAGTCTTAAATGATGCCATAAAATATTAAAGTTATGTGCCTTGCAAAAATAATTGCATTGATGATTTTTTTAAAAGAGATTTTTGCTATAGGGTACATGTGCTCACTGGAGAGATGCAGAGAGACTGAATGATAGAAAATGAGAAAACACTCTCCAGAGGGGATGGCCACGCTGTAATCCCTTCTCCTCCATTCTCCTCTTGGGATTTTGGGCACGCACACACATGTGCCCGATGTGAGTTTTAAGCCACTGGGTCTGGTGGCTGACTGACTATGTGGGAGTCCAGTGATGTGGCCGACTATGAGGGAATCCAATGACGTAACCATTATGCCATTTGCTAGTCTCAACTTTTAAAAAAATGTAGTAATTTCTCTTGTGAGAGAGAGAGAGAGAGAGAGAGAGAGAGAATCCTCAACAGGGTCTGGGTGTCGTGATACACTTCCAGCTTCAGCTAGCCCCAGCTCATGGGCATACATGTGCCTAGTGTACTTGGGAGGGTCTCTGGACACAGACTTGTAGGCAAACCTGGAACTCACCAATGCGGGTTGACCTCGCAGAACTAGATTACCACTGTGCCACTGTCCAACGCCCTTTGACATATATTTGAACTTTCATAACAATACCATGAGGTAGACATTATTAACCAGTTTAGAGACAAAGATATAGAAACCGGCCAAGTTGGGAAACTCTTCCAAGGTATCTTTCCAAAAAAGTCCCATAGAAGTGGGATTCAACTCAATCTGCTTGACTCTAAAGCTATAGTCTTCTCAAGGGGACACCTTCACCACTGGCTGCTTTAATCATTCTGGTAGCACCCAGAGCCTGGGGCAATCTGAAGGGAACTAGGGCATAGGGAGGCCAGGAAGGTGTTGGGAATTATGAGGGAGAAAGGAAAGTAATCACAAGGGAAGAGTCAAGGTAGGAGGCTGGATGTGTTGATTCTTCTACCAAACTGAGGAGGCCTAGACTGAGACTCTCTAGGTGAAAAAAAATCAGAAATAAAGTTGGAGAGGGGCCAGACAGTGATACAGCAGTAAATCCTGTGATGCTGGACCCACAGGAGAAGGTCCAGCGTTTGCATCTTGAGACCTTCCTGGACATGCCATGTATGAGCACATGGACACGCCATGGATGCACACATGATCCAGGCTGGCTGAGAATGCTGTTGACAGTGCCATCTCTCTCTCTCTCTCATGGAAGAAATAGGTAAGTAAACTTTTAAAAAAGAAATAAAGTAGAGAAGGAAGAACGAGTCAAGGGAGCTGACAAATGAAGCAATTCAGAATCTTAATCTGCAACCTCAAATTACTTCTCCGTGGGTCCTGGAATGTGTCATTTGCGTGGACATCATTCATGAACCTAAATTAAGTGTAACATTGGCAGCATCTCATAATTTTATGCATTTTCATCATTTAACAAAGCCACTTTTATATTCTAGAGTTGTCAACAATCCAGAGTATTTTATTTTCATGAAATATCCATGTATAACTAAAAAGAGAGTTCTCTTACTTACTCTAACAGCCAAATGGCTGTATTAAAAAAATGCTTTGTATTAAAAAAAAAAAAATTGTCATCTGAGAAATCACTCTGTGACTAGGAGGTGTAGGTTTCCAAGCACATAGTTTATTTTTATTTCTTCTTGCCTTCCTGCTGGTTCACCCTTCCATTAAGCCTTTAAGGAATACTTATTCCATTAGACTGTGGGCAAGTGAAAATCAATAAAACACAATTTCTGTCAAGGCATTAACATTCTAGTGGGAGAAATGGACACTTACACAACAACAAAGAGAAGAAGGCATATAGGGCAAACGGAGAGCCATGTGGGAGGAGCCACTAACTCTACCGGGGATAACAGTCATAGATGGGTTTAAGAAAAATGTCCCCCAGACTGAAAATAAGGTTACACTGAGCGCAAAACCAGAAAGAATAAATTCACGATGGATAAAATGAGCCATTATGAAAAAGTGCCCAATATGTTGCCTATAAATATGTTTAACCACTAAGACCCCTCAATGGTCCTCTGTTGCTAATGGGAATAAACGCATCTTTCATCTGTCTTGCTTACTTTTCCATGTTTGTCTCAGATTCCCGGTGATTAATAACACATTAAAGCTTTTGAGAGTCACGTGGGACAGTACAGGGGAGACCTTAGTAGAGAGCTTGCCACTGGTGCCAGTTAAGCTGTCTTTCAGCTCCAAACCCCTCTGCGGGCTCCCGGGTGCTGGGGCTGGGCCTTTGCAAACCACATTCTGCTTTGTCTGCTAGCTGGTGCTAGGTTCTTCCCATAGGGGGCACTCGAGGGAAGCTCAAGGCTGAAGGAGAGTGTGACTCGCTCCTCTCCGTCTACTTCCTGTTCCGGAGAGCCTCATACCCACAAAGCTGCTTCTCCCCCAGAGAGCAGCTCGAAATTCCGTTTAGTTTTCCAACCCCCACAGAGCCAGCTCCATGATGCTTCCTTCAGAGACTCCAGCACCAACTGAGTGGACTGAGACCCCAGGATCCAACAATCAAATATTCCCTCCTCTACTTTTCTGAGTTTTAGTAATTCCAGCTTCCTTTCTTGGATCCCTGCAGTCTAGGGGTGGTAGCTGCTTCCTACCATGGCTGACTTAGCAATCAATCACTTTGGGTAGTATTTCTTTTTTTTTTTTGGAGAGGTTTTTCGCTATAGGGCGCATATGCTCGCCAGACAGAGAGAGACCTAGAGACAGAAAGCGAGAAATCACCCCCCAGGGGGGATGGCCACGCCGCAATCCCTTCTCCTCCATTCTCCTCTCGGGATCTTGGGCACACACGCACACGCGCCTGGCGTGAGTTTTAAGCCACCAGGCCCGGGACGCAAACCGCGGTCGACTACGTGGGAGTCCAGTGACATAGCCATTACGCTAACTGCTGGTTCCCTGGGTAGTAGTTCTTGATCATGGGCTAGGTTTGCTAGCCAGGGGACATAAGGCAAAAGCGGTTGGGATTTTTGGTTGCCATGATTTGGAGGTGAAGAGAGAACACTGGCATCTACTGGGTAGGGACAGGGATGGTGCTAAACAGCCTAAATGCAAGGGACAGCCCCACGACAAAGACTTTATGGCCCAATATGGTCATAGTGTCCAGGGTGAGGAACCCTGTTTTACAGTCTTCTTTTTACCCTTTCAGTTAAAGATTTTATACAAAGTTAAATTTTATACTCAGTCAATACATTTTTGTTTATTTAAAAATATATTTATTTATTTACCTTTAGAGAAGTTTTTGCTATAGGCTGCATGTGCTCGTTGGAGAGACAGAGAGAGACGGAGGGGCAGAAAGGGAGAAATCACCCTTCAGGAGGGATGGCCATGCCACAAGCCCTTTTCCTTCATTCTCTTCTTGGGATTTTGGGCACATGCACACATGCACCTGGTGTAAATTTTAAGCCACTCAACCCAGGACTTGAATCATGGTCGACCATGGGGGAAGTCCAGCAATGTAACCATTACACCATGTACTGGTCCCATATTTATTTATATTTACTTATTTATTTATTTTTCTCAGAGGAATGCCCAAATGTAGTCCCCCACTACCATAAATTGTGCAGTCAAGTTTCCCACATTTGGGGAAATCACAGGGATCAGCATATCCAGAATACAATGCATAAGCTTTGCCCTGAAAACCACCTTTGTGATCATGGTATCTCCCCAGCCAGGTAAGTATTATTTATTTATTTTTAATTTGATCAGAGAGAGAGAGACAGAGAGAGGAAGCAAACCACCAGGTCCAGGACTCTAACTGCAGTCAGCCATGTGGGAGTCCAGCACCTTAACCACCACAATATCTGCTGGCCCCATTAACATATTTTTATTTTAAATTCTATCTGACAGGACAACTGTGTAGTTTTGATAGAACCCTGATTATTCAACTTTTGATAGTGTTAAAAAAGAGATTAGATGGGAACCAGCAGTTAGCGTAATGGCTATGTCGCTGGATTCCCACGTAGTCGACTGCGGTTCGTGTCCCGGACCCGGTGGCTTAAAACTCACGCCGGGCGCGTGTGCGTGCGTGCCCAAGATCCCGAGAGGAGAATGGAGGAGAGGGGATTGCGGCGTGACCATCCCCCCTGGGGGGTGATTTCTCGCTTTCTGTCTCTATGTCTCTCTCTGTCTGTCTGGCGAGCGCACGCGCCCTACAGTGAAAATCTCTCAAAAAAAAAAAAAAAAAAGAGATTAGATAACTAGGGAAAGTGGAAGATACCTATGGTTGAAACAAAAATAAACATAATTCACTGTAAATGAGTTAAATCTTCATGTATTATGATATGAATTAAGTAGGTAATATCTCAAATGTCCATAATTGATGAGTAAAGAGGTAGTGATAATATTTAGAAAGATACAACTTTTTCTCTTAGGGTAGGGCCTTGGAGGGTTGGAACAAGATTGCTGCTCTTCATTGTAAGCCTGTATACTATTTGGTAAAAACCATGTTCATGCATCATTTTGATTTAAATTTATTTTGAGGAAAAAAGCCTTATTACATATGTATTACTCTAAAAATATTACACAACTGAAGCCTCAAGCTGGCGGCTGACAGATTAAACACAGATACCGCTGTGTTTTGCTTTTTGCCAATATTGCAGAAATTTAATATTCTGCATAAAAGTCCATCTTTTTTCTTAAAAAGCTAGAATAACAAACTCTCATTTGTGTATGGCAACAAGCAGCTATGCTTGAATGACTGCCCACTTCAGACAAAGCGTGTGCTTTCTATTGTGTTATATCCCCGTCTTCCCTGCTACCTTCGTGAGTATTCCTGCCCAAGGCCTGCTCTCATCATCTGGGCTACTGGCTTGCTCCACTTGGCATTGGAGCTTGCAACTCCAGATGTCCAGTAATAGTTCATTTTCAGTGTCTTATACTATGATGACATCAGCATACAGAGCAACAAAAGGAATTTTCCTAACAATCACGTGTTGAAGATTGGTAGGGCTTGGTACCATTGATTATAAAAGAGAAAGATTCCTCTTGCATCGATGTATAAGAATCTCCGTGCCAGGCACTGTTTTACATGATCACTTAAGCCTCACAACAAACCAACGGAGTAGTTGGTAACAGTATCCATTTCACAGATAATGGCACAGGTGGGATAAGTAACTTTTACACACTATCACATGAGTACCTCCGTAAGTCATCTAAATTAAGTGATAATCTCTTTTTAACCAGTATTTAAAACAAACCATGCAGTTTGTTTGGTGATCTTTGTACTAGACAGGACTCGTTCTGCTCCAAATCCAGCTCAAACCCGCTTTAAAACAAAACATTTTAAAATGTGAATTAATGGGTTCACATAATTAAACCATAAGATGCCAGGATTGGAGTTGCCCCTGAGGGGTTATATCCAGCTTGTGTTCTCATTCTCCATCTCGCTCTAATTTCAGATTCGCTTTGTATATTGACATCATTCTTTTGAATTCCTCTATATGGTGGGCATTTCAGGCTGGGGACCCTGACGAGAATACCATTAGATGGAGTTCAGTGCTCAGGATGCTTTTAAGCAGTGACATCAGGATTAATAGCCGTAAAAGGGTGGAGCAGGAAGCAAGACTGGGCAGAGGGGAATGACGAGTCATAATGCCCACCCAACAATAGCCTAGTGTGAGTCCATAAGGAACTATGATCTTAGAACTATGATGTGAGACTTAGTCCCACATTGGACTGAAATGGCCAGATCTTCACCCTAGGGCATGGATCAGTCTTTGGATGTGAGTTGCGCAGGGAGAGGGGAATCCCTGAGTGAGGAAGCTCTCTATATGCCTGAAGGGCCAATAGCCAAAGGTGTCAGTTAACAATACTCCCAGGAATTGGGGCAGGTCCTCCATTGAAGGACCATCTTAGCCATGCATCCATTGTCTACCACAGGGGGAGATGTAACCACTAGCCATTCTAGGGTCACATTTTTAGGGCTTTCCATCCAAGGAAAAAGAAAGATCCTTCTTGAACTATACTTCAGAAAATTCCAGGGAACAACTGTGGCCTACCCTGAATCACACGCCTGTCCTTTGGGCCAATAACGTGGCTGGAGGTATAGCAAGACGATAGACACAATCTTCATCATGCCCTCATGGGCAGCTGGGTGTTCAGCAGAGGACTGGAGTTGGCAACCCCACAGAATCGAACAGACTCAGAGAAGAGCATTTCCCAGAAGAAGGGGAGTTGGTACTGTCATCTGAAGAAGGTGGTGCATTATGTAGAACGAAACGGTAACTGCCACGAGACTTGCCTTCATTGCCTTTCAGCTCAACCTTTTAATGCTGACCTGCTCCTCAGAGATATGGTAGCCATATTTCTTACACGGTCAGAAACCTGAGAAGGGCACAGCATACACTTAGGATGAACAAAAAGTCAGTTGGCCTCTCTAAGAGGCCACAAGAACAAAAGATCAGAGTCATCTGTCGGTTTCTGACCTCAATTTAATAGCTGAGATTCTTAGTTCTCGGCTTTTGTAGAATGCAC